TCAATAAGCCCACAATGATATGGAGCATTGTCCATAATAATAAATAAAGTCTCGGGTAAACTCAAAAATAGCTGTTCTCTACAATCTACACCATGTAAAAAAATACTTGAGTTTGTTTCTACACTTCAACAAACGGAAAAATGTCTACTCACTTCCCAAAATTGCCACAATTCAAAAAATCATGATATCTGCGCGATTTAAAACCAAAATGAAGCTAGCGTTTTTGTCAAAGCCGTAAATAAAATATATTTTTCAAATACAAATAGATACTTAACGTGGTTTTTTACCTTGAGAATATATATATATATATACAGGGTGACTTTGAAGTTGAGTCATTAATTTTCAGATAATGATTGTAGAAGGAAGATAAGCCAAAATATGTGTGTAAAAATAAAAAAAAATAAAAAAAAAATTTTACCTTGTTTTATAAAGTATCCTCCCGACAAGTATTTCAGTGCGGACCTGTATTTGATCGTGAGGTCCCCTGTGAGGTCTTAAGTCACCTGATTCACGAGCCCGTTGTACTACATTAACAAAGGCACGAGGGGTTGGTTGCACTCGATTGGGAAACCGATCCGCATAAACATGTGCCATTTTTTATTTCGTTTGAGCCACGCAACAGACACCACTATTCACACGCGTTACCGACTGACACTGACTGTATGTATACAACTGAATAAAATAATTGTAAAAACATCGTTCCAAATTCTTTCGCTTTTTTATATATATATTATACATCCGTGATCTTATAATATGCTCATTTACTTTAAAAAGTGCCACAAGCCGAAACATGACCAGAATTAATTTTTATTTTATAATCCGCATATTTCTGGATTCCTATTGTTGCAATTTTGGACTGTTGATGTGGATATTTCTAGAGCATCGGTGTCGCTTAAATAGAAACAAAGAACTTTAAACATATTTCATATCCGTTTAACTTATAACCTCTGTAATAAATAATACTTACATTATACAGCATTTCAAAATTACATTTCACCTATTGAATTAGCATTAGTGTTCGTCAACTTCATCATTATCATCATCGTCACTGTCGTCATCAGTTTCGCTGTCGTCATCTTGACCTATAGTTATTATAACTGGTTCCATTTCCTCCATAAATTGATCATTTTCCCAAAATTTATCTTCAATGTCCCTAGCATGTTGACAAAATTTCTGCCAATCATTAATGGATATTAAGGACATCGCTTCCTGAGTAACTTCTTTCAGTGCGGTTAAACTGAAGTTTCCAGTGGTATTGCGGCTTCTTATATGAAATTTAAGCTTTGCCCAAGCTAATTCTATTGGGTTTAGCTCGCATAAATAAGGAGGTGTTCTTAGAGGAGTATGTCCATGTGATCTTATGATCCGATCAACTACATAATTTTTTTGGTTGTCAGGGCTTATGAAGTAAGACCAGATCGAACAAGTCAAATTTTCTGGCAGTTGCCTCATGATTTATGCCTATAAAATATTTTATTGTATAGTTTGATATGTACATGCATGTTTTGAGTCATAAGTACCTTTCTTTGTCAACCAGGCCATTATATCTTTTTTCGAAGATGATTTTGTCGGGGTTTTATCTTCCTGGACGGAATGATATGGAGCATTGTCAAATACTATAACCGAATTGGCAGGTATATTCGGGAGGAGTTTTTCTGTGAGCCAGCGTGTGAAATTTTCCCGATTCATCTGACCGTGGGAATCGCCTGTAGCTAATCCCGCCTTAAATATCAAACAGGCATTGTCAACAAATCCATTTTCTGAACCTGCATGCACTATAATGAGTCGACCTAAAATATACAAGACGATTATATAATATGTTACAAATCAGAGTTAAATTTAACATATAACATTTTTGCTTATCTGTAGAACCTATACTGCTTATTACACCAGAAACAGTTTCGCTCTGCCAGCATTTTTTGAAAGTCAAGTCATTGTCCACCCAGGTTTCGTCCAAATAAACAATGTTGCGCCCTTCTTCACGATATCTACGTATTTCACGGATGTATTTGTACCTCCATTGCAATATATTAGGCCTCTCCATCAAAACTTTTCTTTTATTTTGACATTTGCGCCAAAAAAAACCATTTGATTTTAATAAACTCCTGAGTGTTTCCCTAGAATAGGGGAAATTTGAGTCTTCTCGCAACTTTTGTAATAACTTCCTAGTTGTCGGGACAACTTTATATTCAAGATAAAATCTGTTTATCAAATGTCTAATAATCTGAAAATCAAAATTTTCATCTTTCTCAACAAGAGACTGACGCGGTCTTTTTTTTCCGGGACTGGATAACATTTTATTCGGGTTATTTTCTAGTCTTTCTTTATCTTCGTTATGAATTTTCCTAACAGAAGATAGTCCGACTCCGGTATAAAGGGACACCCTATCAAGCTTACGTTTAAGCGGCAACTTGAGGGAATTGTTTGCCGCTTCCTCATCGCAAACCCTATAAGTAATCATCAGAATGTTAGCTTAGCATTTCCTTGTTTTTTATTTATATTCAGACTCAGTAGTCAAAAACTACAATTATTGCATATTATTATTACTAACCTATAAACATTCGCAATCACTTCTCTTGTTTGGCTATGAAGCGTCTTTCCGCGAGTAAATTGGTTCATTTTAAAAAATAATACTAAAACGAATAACAATAACAAATAACAAAACACTAAACTATTCAAAAACACACAGCACTAAACATACAAACTTAATAGAACAATTAATAGTTAACAATAATAGTTGTAAAACTTATACACGACAATCAACGGAGATAAAACCTACGCCACTGGACTTTTCAATAGTATGGATATTCTAAGAAAGGAGCAAAAAATTGTCTGGGACGCTACCCAATAGGGAGCCGACTTTTCTCATGGCGACAAAACATGTGAGGATATCCGCCAATCAGATTTGTTTAGGCGGTGTCCAATATACCTTTCGGGTGGTTGTTGCCAGCTCAACCGATGTCGATAAGATCTTTGGAAAAATGTTTACTTATGATACGATTCAGTAGTAAAAAATAGTTATTAAATACAAATAGAGCTAACAACCCATTAAAATACTCAGTATTTTGAATTATTATTTTTTGGAATTGTGTAAAATCGATTTTCAAATCATTGAAATTACTTTTATTATTATTATTGCTTTTTTGTAGTTAAATTTGGCAATATCGAATATTTTCGGTCGCATTCCTTTCGCTGTTGCAGATCCGTTTGCCAAACTTTACGTACGTATAAACGTATCCTAAACGATCATACGAGTTTGTCGTATTTTATCGCAGAGGTGAATCCCCTACACTCTCATAAATCGGGGACTCCCCGACGCCCGACATAAATCATCGAGGCTTCAGCATTTTACCGTCGCGCTGTTTCCGTGCGCCGAGAGTTGTTTACGTTATCGAGCGTACACATTGTTTACGTTATCGCGCGTTCCATTTGATCCTATAGAACGAAGTTTGTGTTTACATTAGCGCAAGTTTTCATTATCCCGTGTTTACGTTATCGAGCGTCTGCTGTAAAACAACACGGTAGGTAGTTTTAAATGACTTTATTGTTTTTCGAAGTATTCTCCACGAAGATTAATACACATCTGCATGCACTCGAACCAATTTTTGAAGCACTTATTCCACTCATTTGCTGGCAACACGGAAATTTTGAATGCGTCAACTGCTTCTTCTGGTGACCTTTGACCACGCAGTCTGTTTTTAATTTTCCGGAAAGTAAAGAAATCGTTAGGACTTAGATCGGGACTATATGGAGGATGGTCCAATAATTCCACGTTTTGGGCTGTGTGCGAGCTTGCATTGTCTTGGTGGAGGATGATTCTTCTTTCGGGGTTGATTTTTCGAAGCTCGGTGATGACTTTTGGCAAACAAATGGTGGTATACCAATCCGCAGTAACAGTTCTTTGCTCATTAAGAGGAATTGTTGCAATATGACCCGCTTTTGACACAAATGTGGCGACCACCTTTTTCGAAACACTTCGAGAACGGATGACTTTTGTTGGCTTTTCTTCACCTTGGAACACCCAAACAGCCGACTGTCGTTTATTTTCTGGTTCATAATAGTAAATCCACGATTCATCACCACTAACAATGCTCTACACATTTTTTGAGTTTCCGGAATTGAAACGGTCAAGCGTTTTTTGACACCAATTAACCCTGGCTGCTTTCTGCTCTTCAGTGAACAGGTGGGGTATCCAACGAGAAACTAATTTTCTTACTCCAATTCGTCAAGTAAATTTTTTTGAATTGAGGTCTTTGAGATCTTCAAGGACGTCTCAATCTCGCGTTATGTCACATGTCTATCTTTACTGATGAGTTTGCGCAGAGCATCGACGTTTTCCTGTGTGACTACCGTTTTTGGTGCACCCACCCTGGGATCGTCGCTAAGACTCACCCGTTCACGTTTGAATTCTCAGTACCAACGGGAAATTATCGACTGATGTGGCGCTTCGTTGCCGAAAACAGACAGTAACTCAGCAAGGCATTCTTGTTGCGATAATTGTCTCTGAAAGTTGTAATAAATTATGGCGCGAAAATGTTCTCGGCTGAGTTCCATTTTTCTAATGACTTGGTGACACTTAAAAATTCACTGTAGTGAGAACACTGCACGTATTGTTGTGAAACTTTGAATTTAGGTTAAATAAAGAGTGAGGTTAAGATTCAGTACTGACGTTCGATCCGCGCGGCCTACTATGTTTCTATATGCAAAACTTAAAAGACATCCCTCGTAAGGATCTTTTTTGTTCAGAATCATCAAAAAAACCAAAATGAGTTTGTTCGGAACGTAAATAACAGTTTTTCGGATTCGTTCAAAAATACTGTTCAAAAAATGTTTGATGCAATTTTGAGCCTGCATCATTCAGATTTTGTATAAGACTATGCAAAAAAACCAATCCGACTGGATGCCAAGATTTTTCCTGAACTATGAAATTTCTCCAAAATTGTTGGATTTACATTAAAAATCAAAAAGTACATATTCGGACACTCTATATTTTACTGTACCTGCATGTAGCTTCGTATAACTGCTGATCCTCACTCTCAACCCTCGGCAAATTCTCTTTGACCAACGTATCTTCAGGATTAGGCACTTTCGTGATAACTCCAATGTAATAATCTGCTATCAGAGCCTGAGTGTCCAAGAACCGGTCCAATTCCAGTTGAAAGGCGCAGATGTAGGTGTTCAACAGCTCAGTTAGATGTCTTGGAGCCCAACGTTGGTTGATCAGACAGCCTCTTTCACGCTCAGAAGCAAGCATTTTCTTATCGCAGAGGTCGATCAGTTTGTCCTTCATCTCTTGCACCCTTTGACAATCAATGCATATACCATGGGTGGTCAAGCCGAAAACGGAGGATAGTTATCGGAAAAATATATACTAAGTGACATATAAATCCGAACACCCAGTTTAAATGGTTTTATTTTAATAAAAGTTGGTGAATGTATTTATCTTACTATAAATAACAAGTGAAAAAATTTACAGCCTTATCAGTTGGACATTCCGATTCTTATACTGCTTTCTTTTAATTCACTAACGCTCTAAAAATGAATATTTCAGCCGCAGTAAAGAATCAACGTTGGCGGATTTTGGTTCTTGACATCCTTTACGATCGGTTACGATGCCTAGAGTACGGAGACCTGTACGATTTCGTCAACTTAGTGAGTTTGATAGGGGCCGTATAGTGGGACTTCGGGAAGCTGGACTTTCTTTTCGGGCAATTGCGGTTAGAGTGCAACGAAGTGTGGACACTGTGGTTAGGTGTTGTCAGGCATGGCTTCGAGAAGGCCGTACGCAAAGAGCAAGGGGCACTGGACGCCGCCGTAGAACAACAGACCGTGAAGATCGCCGCCTAAGATTATTGGCCTTAAGGGACCGTTTCTCCACTACCAGGTCCATTGCAAACGAATGGTTTGCAGAACACGGAAGACCTATTGGCATGCGAAGTGTTTACCGACGAATGAGAAGTTTTGGATTGTTTTCATACCGGCCACACTGGGTCCTCCCTTTAACTCGAGAACACCGACGTAATCGCCTTGAGTGGTGCAGACAACGGTCACTCTGGGATCAGGAATGGAACAGTATTGTCTTTAGTGATGAGTCTTGATTTTGTTTAGGCATGCAAAGAGATGTTCATCACACTGTTGGAGTTATGGTTTGGGGTGCTATAGCTTATGGTTCCAGGTCACCTTTAATCTTCATCAGAGGTAACATGAACGCGCAGCGTTATATCCACGAAGTTCTAGAACCCCATCTTTTACCCTATCTTGACACCCTGGCAGATCCAACTTTCTAACAAGATAATGCCCGACCACATGTTGCAAGAGTCACAATAGACTTCTTTCAACATAATGATGTCACATTGTTACCATGGCCACCAAGATCTCCCGACTTATCCCCAATTGAGCACGTGTGGGATATGATGGGTAGGAGATTGCTCAATTTGCAACGTCCTCCTCAGACTCTAGAAGCACTTCGAGAGGAGTTGGTGGTTGCCTGGAATGAGATACCACAGGAGGACATTGACCACCTGATCAGAAGCATGAATAGGCGCGTTGGAGAATGCGTAGCACATCAGGGTGCATCCACACATTATTAAAGGACAAAGGGCTTTAAAGCAGTGCAATCATTTTGAAATTTTTATCATTTACTTATTATGCTTCATTAAGTACTTATACAAAATTTTATTAAAATAAAACCATTTAAACTGGGTGTTCGGATTTATATGTCACTTAGTATAAAAGTAATCAAAATTCACCGAATAATCGAATTTAAATATAAACGGAGAATTGTCAACACCACAAATGTAAAGAATATGCACAACTTTCCATGATACTAGGTATGATGATGTCTGTAAAATGTTAGTAGACCATTTCCAATCGTACTGATTTCTGATACGACTGTGAGTTTTTTGTTAACTGTTAATAATACTACAGGGTGGGCCATTAAGTTGAGCGGATTTTAAAAAATCATAGAAAAAAACTACAAAGCGTATGGAAGATTAAATTTATATGGGGTTGTCCAAAACGGACGCAGGAAAGTAAACGCATATTAAAACAAGAAAGATTGATATTCATATCAAGTTGGGTACTTTATTTAGAAGGTTCGTTTATACCATTTATGTATGAAAAATAATATCGCTCAAATGTTCACCACGACTGGATTTACAGACGTCCACGCGATGGTCGCAATTTTCAATGACATTGTGCAACATGGTCGGTTCTATGGCATTTATCTCCGCAATGATGTTGTTTTTGAGTTCTTGGAGGGTGGCTGGTTTGTTGACGTAGACTTTGCTTTTCAAATATCCCCATAAAAAGAAGTCCAAGGGAGTCAAATCGCACGATCTTGGTGGCCATGGCACATTTCCTCTGCGCGAAATCACGCGATCACCGAAGAAGGACTGCAATCGATGGATATTGACGTTGGTTGTGTGGCATGTTGCACCGTCTTGTTGGAAATAAACATCGTCCATATCCATTCCTTCAAGTTGCGGCAAAAAATAGTCCTCTATCATCACGTGATATCGCTCAGAATTGACGGTAACGGCGTACCCGGCCGCATTTTCAAAAAAGTAAGGTCCGATGATGCCTTTTGACCACAATGCACACCACACAGTCACTTTTTGAGGTTGAATCGGCTGCTCTTGAGACTCACGGGGATTTTTGTTCGCCCAGATGTGGCAGTTTTGCTTGTTTACCGTCCCATTCAAAGTGAAGTGCGCTTCGTCGCTGAACATGATTTTTGATGAAAAATTGGCATCAATTTGGCGAACCAATCTGAGAACGCTCGGCGCGAAAAATGGTCGGCCCGACGCAGTTCTTGCGTCAATTGGATCTTGTAGGCGTGTACATTCAAATCCTTGTGGAGAATGCGGAGCAAACTGGGTCTCGAAGTGCCCAATTCTTGGGATCGACGCGTTGTTGATTGTTTCGGATCGTCTCTCACACTCTCCTTCACAACAGCAATATTTTCCGGTGTGCGAACGCTCCTTGGCCGGCGAGAGCCTGGAAGATTTGCCACAGAACCTGTTGCCTCGAATTTACGCACCAGACGACCGATGGTTGTTTCGTTTGGGCGGTTGTTGCGACCGAAATGTTCACGAAGCGCGCGAAACGTGTTTTTTATTTTTGCACCATTTAATGCGGTCTTCAATCGAATAAGACTCCATAGCGATCAATGGTAAACATTCGACTAACAAAATGACATGTCGGTGACAGAACACAAAGATGGCGTCTATGTCAAATTGACGTTTACTTTCCTGCGTCCCTATTGGACAACCCTATATTTTTAATAGATTAGAAACATGGGAAATTTATTTTTTTAAAATAACATCATTGAGATATGAGCCATCGAGAAGTACGCATTCCTCAAATCTCGGCTTCGAATTCGTGAAAACTCGCTGGCATATCCCTCGTGGGATAGCGGACATCTCGAAAATGCTGTGGTTGAGCTGGGCAATCGTCTTCGGTTTATAGGCGTAACGCGTCTCTTGAAGTATCCCCAGAGAAAAATATCCAGTAGCATGAGATTTGAGCTCAGGGGAGGCCACGGAATGTTCCCTCGTCGCGATATCAATTGTTCACTAAACATTTTGTTTACAACTAATAAAGAGTCGTTGGCGGTATGGGATGTCGCGCCATCTTGTTGAAACCAGATCTTGCTGTGGTAGGCTTCAAAATTATGCAGTTGTGGAAAGAAAAAGTTAAGTAGCATTGCTGTGTAGGAATTTGAATATACTGTTACAGTCTGGCCTTGCTCGTTTTCGATAAATTTCTAATGGTATTAAATTCAGATCAGTCGTTAACATTTTCAATAAGTTTCATAGACAACTTCCGATGGCACTATGATTTATCCGTGACGTTTTTGTTCGCAGTTTCCTATGATATAATGATGTAAGTTTTTGTACACAATTCTCAATGATACTATGTTGAAACAATTTCCAGTGATACAGGGGCGGCTGGCCCTTAAGTTCTGCAGAGCTGCAGAACTGCCAAAACTTTTGTTGTAGGATGTTGGTATTCGCTTTGTGGTCGCAATACATTTTGAACTTGTAAAAACCTGAGAGTCGCAGTCTCAGAGCTTCGCTACCTTGCACTGACTTGTTCAATTCGTCAGTCTATAAATACGAATGTGGGACAAATACGTTTATTCGTTTCCTGAATCTTGGAAAGGAAAGTGCTAAGAAAATATTTTAAAGAATATAAACAGAGAGTATATCACACAAATTATAGTGAGTCAGTGTTATTTTGTTTGAGAATGCTGGAGAAAAGTAAGTACATTATTTTTTATTAAATTTTAGTTTTGTACTCGTAGTTAGCAAAGATAGATAAATTACGCCAATCATGACTTTAGTTATTAGTAGTTAAATATTCAATCATGCAAAATTACACGAGTACTCCTCAATAGTTTCTTTTTGAAAGTTTTAGCAATCGGTAATATAATTACAGTGCAATCTCCGTAATTCGAGGTAATTGTTGCAAGAAGATGTTCGAATTATGGAATGTTTTCGGAAAAATCAACAAATATTTTTAATATAAAGCTGCTGGATTTTCTGTCTTATTTAAATAATTTAATTTTGCCCACAGATGACTGATGCCATGTCCGAATCTAAAAAGAAATGTAGACAGTACAGTGTTGATTATTTGAAATTTGTCTTCACTCCATCATTGCCGGACAAACAATCGCCTATTTGCCTTTTATGCAACAAAGTTTTGGGCAATGACGCTATGAAACCATCTAAACTGCCAGATCATCTGAGAAGATGCCACCCTGATAAAACAGAGAAAGATTTGAAATACTTTCAAACACTCAAAGATAAATTTCAGAAGAGACCTACACTGGACAGAATGTTCGCTTCGACGTCACAAAGAAATGATGATGGTTTGCGGGCGTCTTACAATATCTCGTTACTTATAGCAAAATCCGGAAAACCGCATACTATCGGAGAGAAGTTAATTTTGCCAGCCGTTGAAGAGGTTTTAAAAACTGTTTCACACAAACCTGCATCTGATATCATTAAAAGAATTCCCTTAAGCAACAGTACTGTTGAAAGACGTATTGATGATGAAATGAGTTCTGATATTGAAAGCTTCTTATGTAATTATTTGCAAACGACCCATTTCTCTATACAACTGGACGAGTCAACTTTACCTGATAATGCAGCATTATTATTGGCATATGTTCGTTTTATTATGAATCAAGAAATCTACGAAGAACTGCTCTTCGCAAGAACTTTGATAACGGACACTAAAGGTGAATCAATATTTCATGTTTTGAAGGATTACTTCATTGGAAAAGCAATTCCTTTATCAAATATAATATCAGTAGCTACAGATTACATCCATCGACAACATTTAGTTGCTAAAAATGTGAGTGTTAGATTGCATGAATCACTTCATTTAGTCATTGATGCAGTAAACCGAATCCGAAGCAACGCGTTGAATATGCGCAGTTGTGTGAAGAAAATGACGAACACTTTCATCAATCACTCCTTCACACTGAAGTACGCTGTCTGTCGAAAGGCTTTTGTTTGACAAGATTTTTTGCACTTTTTGAGACTATTTTAGAATTTCTGGATACTAAAGATAAAATTTTAAAAGAAAATTTAATGAAGAGAAAAACAGACATCGCCTATTTAACAGACTTGTTTACAAAATTTAATATGGTTAATTTGCAATTACAAGGCGACAGTTTAGATTTGATTAAAACAAAGTCCATCTTATCAGCGTTTCTTGCCAGAGTTAAACTAATGAAGCAAAATATTGGACGGGGCCAATTTTCTCAGTTCCCCAATTTGTCACAGACAAGCTGCCAGGAAGACGACGTTTCAACTTACGTTCAACATTTAAATGCCCTCTATTTAGATTTTGAATCTAGGTTTGAGGATATTTTGACTATGTTAATACCACCGTGGATAATTAATCCATATGATGACATAGAAGAAACGAATGTCATAATACAAGAGGAACTGACTGAACTAAGTACAAACGAAGAACTTAAGGTTCAGTTTAAAAACGGATATCAGCAATTCTGGCTGCAAAACAACATACCCGTTACTTATCCCGTATTATGGAATATAGCGATGAAATTTTTAATTTCCTTTCCATCGTCATACCTAGTGGAAAGGGGGTTCAGCGCTGTTACCAATCTTCTAACGACAAAAAGAAACAGACTGGACATCATTAGCTGAGGAGATTTAAGATTAACCCTTACAAAATTGACGCCAAATGTTGATAATTTATTATTAAAGCATCAGGTTCATCCTTCTCACTAAAAATATTGACTTATTGCTTATGTTATTTTATTTATAGTTTATTTTATGTTTATTGGTGTCTGACCAATAAATGCCCGCATTGGGAAAAGCGCCCGCATTGATTTTTTTAAAGAACCCCCCTTTATAGAAAATATTTTTTTTTTAAATTATTCTGAAAATTCAGGGATATGTACACACTAAAATTCGTTAATTTTTTGCCTATTTTTAGATAACTTAAACGTATAAGAAGCGGAATTTAATCAAACTAACAGTGAAATTATTGTAGAACATACGTTTATGTTATAATTAATTAACGAACTCGCTTATTGTACTATTTTAAGTAAAAAACTTTTTTTTTATTATTTTTCACTTTTTTTATTTTATCCCTCTTATTTTTTTTTTTCAATGCGGGCACTTATTCCCAATGTGGGCACTTATTGGTCAAACACCTGTTTATTTAATGTTACGTATATTTTACATAACAGATACAAAATTTTATTTTGAGTAGTTTTAATTTAAATTCAATTAATAAATGTATAAATTAACATGTGTTTTTACTTTAAGTTTTTAACACTAAACTTCACTACAGTTAGAAATTTACAGGAAATCAATATCAGGTAAGTAGGGGGTCTACCCAACACGGAAAAACATGGCAAGGGGTCTACGACACAAAAAAGTTTGGGGAACTCTGGTTTGGAGGAAACACGAAAAGAAAGAAAAAAGCTGTTAGAAATTACTGTTACATTATGTCAACATCTGAGGCTGAGCGAAATTTCTAAACATTGAAAAGAATCAAGACCTTTCTTCAAAATTCTCAAAACCGCCTTACAGCGTTGTCGATGCTGTCCATTGAAAACGAATTTATTTCGACCATGGAAAATTTCAACGGGAAGGTGATCGACAAATTTGCTGCCAAGAAGGAGCGCAGGATCGAACTGACATATAAAAAATAGGTAAGTTCGGATTTGCAGATCACGTGTTTTATTTTGCCACGAGCCGCCACTGCAGTGATACTATAACTAGAAGAAGAATTTCCTTGAACCAAATGTAAGATTTGAAAAAGACCGAAATAATGCCCATACTTTCACCTAGTGACTTTACCTACAATGCAGCTCAGCCTTAAATTCCACATCGACCCTGATGTCATCATCAAACTCATTATACATCTGCTGGAACCTACGCAGGTAATCTTGACGATTATCAGGAGCTGTGATAACCTCACCCATGTGCTTCCTGGCATAACTGGCGAATGGCATCACAGCGTTCAGAAGGAGACGTTTGATGAACAGAAGTTGCTGGAAGTCGCCAATGTAGACATCCTCCAAGTTCTCCCATAAGCTGGCTAAGGCATAGCTCAGCTCAGAAGGTAGCTGAAAACAAAGCTCTAGTTGAGGAGACAAATTAGGTGAAGAGACGTTTATGAACTCGATGTAGACCTCCTCCTGGTTCTCCCAAGGCTTAGCTTAGACGTTATTCTAGTTTCAGTATATTTATGATAGCATTGAGGAGGAGCCATTTGGTGCAGAGGAGTTGCTGGAAGAAATCGTTGTAGACCTTCTCCAGGTTCTCCTATAAGCTTGATAAGGTATAGCTTAGGTGAGAAACTAGCTGGTTGAGGCATATGACGGTATTGAGCAAGGAGTATTTGGTAAATAGGAGTTGCTGGAAGAGGTCGATGTTGACTTCCCGTAAGCTGGCCAAGGCTTAGCTTCGGACAGAAGGTCGTTAAAAACGGAGTTCTAGTTGAAGTATACAGGGTGTTCCTTAATGATATGCGATTATTTACGGGTGTGACTCTACACGAAAAATTAATGTTAGTTTGCTTTATAAACTATGGTCCAAAAATGTTTCCTTGCAAAAACTCGGGGTGTTGAAGTTTTAGGAAAAAATGGAAATTAATTAAGATTTTCAGAACCGCTTCAGATATTTCACTGATATTTAGTACGTAGTGAAAGTTAATAAAGTTGCATATTTTTCAATGCAAAAATAATTTTTAGCTTTAACGACGGCGTGCTTACGGGTATTCACTTCGATATTTTTTAAGAAAAAATGGTACGGTAATGGTTTTTTGCCAGATAGAAATTATTTTTGAATTCCCCGTTCAATTTAAAACAAATACTTGAGTTGCTTTCCTTCGATGGGCCATTTTTGAGTAAAAAAATAAAAACCGTTCTTTTGTCCGAGAAAATTAATGTAATAATTGCAGAATGCAATTTAGCAATAAATATCTAGTTGCTCTGGAATATGTCACTGGCTTTTGACATCTGACAAGTCTGTTATTCAAATCTGTTCGCTGTGACATCTTTTTCATTATTTAGTTTTTACAATCTTGTTAAGAATGGTGAATTATTCAAATGCAGGAATGTCGGGAATGCATTACGTATAAGTTATGGAATCCTGATGATTACCATTTCAACGGTACGGCTAACACCGTCCCGATGCCCTTATGATTAGCGCCGTCCATCCGGTTTCTAGTTACAGCGTTAGGTGTTATCTTTGTGAGAACATTCCTGACTTTGCATTTTGCTATATTTTACTTCTTATAAACTGAATATGAAATGTAACTAGCGTTGTTGTCATCCTGTTTTCATCCAATAAAGTTCCTGCTATAGTTTTGAACCGAAACCACACTGAGTTTCATTTCTTATATGGCCTTGCCGACGGTAATTATGAGCAAGCCAGACGGATTTATCACCAGAGATATCCCGATCGTGCTTTGCCATATAGTCGAACCTTTTCTAATATTCATCGTCGTCTTGTTGAAACTGGTTCTGACCGAAAAGGCACATCTGAAGGTAGACCTCTAAGTGTGAGAACACCTGAAATTGAGGAAGCAGTGCTACACGAAGTCGAAGACACTTAAATATTTGCCATCAAATTGTTTGGAGAATTTTAGTGGATTTCTTGTTATATCCTCACCATATTTTAAGAGTACAGGCATTACTTCCCATTAATTTTCCAACCTTTTGTCAGTGGTATCTTCAAAGAATTACACAAAATCCTCAATTTGAATCAATGATTCTGTTCACGGACTAAGCTAATTTTTCTCGAAATGTCATTCAGAATTTCCACAATAATCATTTCTGGACAGAAGAATTTTCGGTTAACGTATAGGCAGGAATTATTGGCAACCACTTTATTGGCCCATTCTTCTTGCCGGGACGTCTTGAATTTTCTTCAACAACAGTTGCCTTTGCTGTTTGATGATGTTCCGTTAGTAATAAGAAACAATATGTGGTACATGCATGATGGTGCACCAGCGCATTTCAGTGTAGCGGTTCGTAATTATTTACAAACTGTTTATCCAAATCGTTGTATCATCCGCGGTGGGCCAAAAGAATGGCCACCAAGGTCCCCAGACCTCAACAGTTTAGATTTATTTTTGTGGGGCTATCTTAAGACCCTAGTGTACACAAGTCCCATTAACACTGTATATGAATTAAGATAAGGAAGGCAGCTTGTGATAGAATAAAAAACACTCCGGGGATATTTCAACGAGTGCGCAATTCCATGAGAAGGAGGGCGGAAGCATATATACTAAGTGAAGGGGGCCGGGCCATTTTCAACAATTTTTGTAATCATTCCATTGGTTTTAATGTTATGTTTATGTTTATGTTTATTAAATTAATAATAATTTTGTAAGTTAGACAATAGAACGGTATTTATTTGTTTACTCAAAAATGGCGCATCGAAGGAAAACAATTTAAGAGAGATCATTTGTTTTAAATTGAACGGGAAATTCAAATCAATTCAATTTTTATTTGGCATAAAACCATTGGCGTACCATTTTTTTCTTAAAAGATATCGAAGTCAATACCCGTACGCACGCTACTTTTAAAGCTAAAAACTTTCACTATGTACTAAATATCAGTGAAATATCTGAAGCGATTCTAAACATATTAACTAATTTCCATTTTTTTTCCTAAAACTTCAACACCCCGAGCTTTTGTAAACTAACATTAATTTTTCATCTAGATTCACACCATTAAATATTTGCATATCATTAAGGAACACCCTGTATAACGGTACTAAGTAAAAGTTATTTGGTATAAAGTGGAGTTGCTGGAAGAAGTCGACGTAGACCTCCTCCATTTCTCCCATAAGCTGGCTAAGGCATAGCTTATCCCAGAAAGTAGCTGGAAACAAAGTTCTGGTTGAGGTATATGACGGTATTGAGCAAGGAGTATTTGGTAAATATGAGTTGCTAGAAAAAGTCGATGTAGACCTCCTCCCATAAGCTGGTTAAGGCATAGATTATCCCAGAAAGTAGCTGGAAACGAAGTTCTGGTTGAGGTATATGACGGTATTGAGCAAGGAGTATTTGGTAAATATGAGTTGCTAGAAAAAGTCGATGTAGACCTCCTCCCATAAGCTGGCTAAGGCATAGATTATCCCAGAAAGTAGCTGGAAACGAAGTTCTGGTTGAGGTATATGACGTTATTGAGCAAGGAGTATTTGGTAAATATGAGTTGCTAGAAAGAGTCGATGTAGACCTCCTCCCATAAGCTGGCTAAGGCCTAGATTATCCCAGAAAGTAGCTGGAAACGAAGTTCTGGTTGAGGTATATGACGGTATTGAGCAAGGAGTATTTGGTAAATATGAGTTGCTAGAAAGAGTCGATGTAGACCTCCTTCCATAAGCTGGCTAAGGCATAGATTATCCCAGAAAGTAGCTGGAAACGAAGTTCTGGTTGAGGTATATGACGGCATTGAGCAAGGAGTATTTGGTAAATATGAGTTGCTAGAAAGAGTCGATGTAGACCTCCTCCCATAAGCTGGCTAAAGCATAGGTTATCCCAGAAAGTAGCTGGAAACGAAGTTCTGGTTGAGGTATATGACGGTATTGAGCAAGTATTTGGTAAATATGAGTTGCTAGAAAGAGTCGATGTAGACCTCCTCCCATGAGCTGGCTAAGGCATAGATTATCCCAGAAAGTAGCTGGAAACGAAGTTCTGGTTGAGGTATATGACGGTATTGAGCAAGGAGTATTTGGTAAATATGAGTTGCTAGAAAGAGTCGATGTAGACCTCTTCCCATAAGCTGGCTAAGGCATAGATTATCCCAGAAAGTAGCTGGAAACGAAGTTCTGGTTGAGGTATATGACGGCATTGAGCAAGGAGTATTTGGTAAATATGAGTTGCTAGAAAGAGTCGATGTAGACCTCCTCCCATAAGCTGGCTGAGGCATAGGTTATCCCAGAAAGTAGCTGGAAACGAAGTTCTGGTTGAGGTATATGAAGGTATTGAGCAAGTATTTGGTAAATATGAGTTGCTAGAAAGAGTCGATGTAGACCTCCTCCCATAAGCTGGCTAAGGCATAGATTATCCCAGAAAGTAGCTGGAAACGAAGTTCTGGTTGAGGTATATGACGGTATTGAGCAAGGAGTATTTGGTAAATATGAGTTGCTAGAAAAAGTCGATGTAGACCTCCTCCCATAAGCTGGCTAAGGCATAGATTATCCCAGAAAGTAGCTGGAAACGAAGTTCTGGTTGAGGTATATGACGGTATTGAGCAAGGAGTATTTGGTAAATATGAGTTGCTAGAAAGAGTCGATGTAGACCTCCTCCCATAAGCTGGCTAAGGCATAGATTATCCCAGAAAGTAGCTGGAAACGAAGTGCTGGTTGAGGTATATGACGGCATTGAGCAAGGAGTATTTGGTAAATATGAGTTGCTAGAAAGAGTCGATGTAGACCTCCTCCCATAAGCTGGCTAAGGCATAGGTTATCCCAGAAAGTAGCTGGAAACGAAGTTCTGGTTGAGGTATATGACGGTATTGAGCAAGTATTTGGTAAATATGAGTTGCTAGAAAGAGTCGATGTAGACCTCCTCCCATAAGCTGGCTAAGGCATAGGTTATCCCAGAAAGTAGCTGGAAACGAAGTTCTGGTTGAGGTATATGACGGTATTGAGCAAGTATTTGGTAAATATGAGTTGCTAGAAAGAGTCGATGTAGACCTCCTCCCATAAGCTGGCTAAGGCATAGATTATCCCAGAATGTAGCTGGAAACGAAGTTCTGGTTGAGGTATATGACGGCATTGAGCAAGGAGTATTTGGTAAATATGAGTTGCTAGAAAGAGTCGATGTAGACCTCCTCCCATAAGCTGGCTAAGGCATAGGTTATCTCAGAAAGTAGCTGGAAACGAAGTTCTGGTTGAGGTATATGACGGTATTGAGCAAGTATTTGGTAAATATGAGTTGCTAGAAAGAGTCGATGTAGACCTCCTCCCATAAGCTGGCTAAGGCATAGATTATCCCAGAAAGTAGCTGGAAACGAAGTTCTGGTTGAGGTATATGACGGTATTGAGCAAGGAGTATTTGGTAAATATGAGTTGCTAGAAAAAGTCGATGTAGACCTCCTCCCATAAGCTGGCTAAGGCATAGATTATCACAGAAAGTAGCTGGAAACAAAGATCTGGTTGAGGTATATGATGGTATTGAGCAAGGAGTATTTGGTAAATATGAGTTGCTGAAAGAAGTCGATGTAGACCTCCTGTAGGTCCTCCCGTAAGCTAGCCAAGGCTTAGCCTCGGACAGAAGGTCGTTAAAAACGGAGTTCTAGTTGAGGTATATAACGGTATTGAGGAAGACTTATTTAGTATAAAGGGGAGTTGCTGGAAGAAGTCAACGTAGAAGGTAGTTGTGAACAAAGTTCTAATTAAGGTATATGGCAACATTCAGGAGAAGTTGATGGCAACAGTCGATGTAGAATTACATCTCTTGTAAAGAAGTGCTTTCGGGTGCAAGCTACTTGCTGAATCAAAGTTATGAATTAAAAATAGTTGCTTAAAGAGAAAACTTAAAAATAAAGATGCATCGATTTTCGTCCAGCAGGCAAAATATTGTGTAAGGATTTCTTTGTTAATTACTTTAGCAATCAGGTACTCCCATCCAGGTTCTCCAGGCTTAGGAGGGTCATCGGTGCTTGGTTCGACTTCTTCAATTTCTACTTCAGGCAGTTGAGTGAATTTATCTTCTCTCACTATCACAGCATGACTAACTCTATCTGTAAAAATATTCGTTCATCCTTTATAAGGTTTTTCGAAAATTCAAAAAATTGAATAGTGTGGAATATAAAACAATAGATAAGTGGATAAGGAGTATAAATATGAAATAGAATAGAAAATACCATACCATTTATTCACTACATTAAATACCTATATAAAATGTACATATGAGGTCTTACAAGCTAATTTATTATCTATCCGAGTGACATCATAGCAATAAGTATCAATAATATTCCGTATTTATCTTCGTAATTCGTAACTTTCTTTTTTTTTCATTTCTACAAAAAAATCGTAAAAAATGTCCATTCTCAGTGTGTCGCTAGATTCTCTGCTAGATTTAGCGAACTCTGATGACATTTGGAGGAAGATACGAATATCCAGAAATAATGGTTAACCGGTAAATGCGGCGGAAAAATATTAACTTACTTAAGTTTTCATCGTTCATGTAACTTTTATTTCTTTTGTAAATTGCAAGCGCCCTCCCTTGGTGAAATTCACGTTTGTAGTTACATAAATCCAGACCCTAGAAGAGGTTGACTTGTATTTGCATTCAGCTGTATGATTTGTCTGGAGTTGGAATAACATTTTGTGTTTAGCGAATTTTACGCATAGATCTGACGAATTTTTATTTTTGTAGTTAGCAACCCTAGGTGGTATGACAATTTAGTCTAATAATATTAGCAAATTTCCCCAAAATAATTTTAAAGTCTGGTTTTATTAGTGCAAGATGTTCAAGAGGGTATTTAAAACCTGGACGCATAAAATGGATACAAAAATTTTTGGGGGGAAAGTTTTTTATTTGACAACAAAGAATGAGAAAACGTGTTTTTGGGGATTCAATCGAAAGTGTTGACAGGAACGAAAACACTTTTCACATAAGGTTTTTAGGATTTGTGAGACCTACAAAATGAGACCATACGTAAAAAGGTCAAACTAATAGCAAAAAAGTTATGGCCGAAAACTGCAGATTTTGGCACTTGTTGGTAATGCGAAGATAATTTCACGCAACTACTTGAAACTCTTAAAATCCGTAGGATTCATACTTCTAAATAAGAACAACAAAATTGGACTATATTGGTCAAGTAGTTTTTTGAGAATTTCTAATTGTTTATTCCAAAACACCTTTTTTCCGGCCATCACTACTAGTTCAAAGAGCATTTAGTAGCAAAATACACGTTTTTGCCTTGTTGATATGAATCATAAACCATTCCGAAAGATAAATGTTATTTTTATGCGAAAAACAAAGCTACGTTTTCTTCTTCTCAACAAATTGAAACATTTCGTATTTGTGAGTAATTGAACAAATGCGCTACGATATTCGAAAAGCATACGTTAATATACACATTTTAAAACAAAGCGGATGTGTCTATCATCTTTTGTTGCGAAGTACTCGCAAATATGAAATGTTTGAATTTGTTTAGAAGAAAAAACATAACCCATCCTTTTTTTACATAAAAATAACATTTATCTTCCGGAATGGTTTGCGATTCATATCGGCAAACTAGAGTATTTTGCTATAAAATGTCCTTTGAACTAACCCTGCATATTGGTCAATAAACTAGTAGTGATGGCCGGAAAACAGGAGTTTTAGGATAAACAGTTCGAAATTCTCATTTTATTATTAAGTTTTGAATACCTCCTTGAACAACTTACAGCAATAAAACCAGACTTGACAATTATTTCGTAAAGCAGGGGTATTTTCGTCTAATATGATTAGACTATTTGTTAAAACAATATCAATAAAACAAGAACGGGGCCATTCAGTCCGGAAATCCTCCGTTCTCAAGAAACTGGCAAGAATTCTACTTAGCAAAAAACCGACTAAAAAAAATCTCCAAAAAATGTCGCTGCTGCGATGTGTATTGGTGCTTGTTTTCTAGGTAAATTGGGTGCGTAGATTCCGAATTCATTGTAAGCTTAGTACTAGGAATCACGGCTGAGGAGTTTTTGACCAACTCCTCAGCCCAAATTCGGCACCATGATCCTTTAAGGTTTTATCACGATGATATGCGAATTCAGCACCCGAAATTACCTAAATGTAGAGAGCATCGTGCGCAAATAGCCACCGGAAAGATTTTTAGCATTCTAAAGACTTCAGATTCCGCTATTTCGACCCAAAATACGAGCCCCTTTCCACTTCAGTTGGCCCACTTCAAGATTTGTACCAAAATATGCCTTTAAGTTAACATAGCAACGATTGAAAGATTACCATTGGGTAACATCACCTTTATTTTTTATTACGGCTGAAATTCTTTGGGGCATAGTGTTAACCAAGTTTTGGCAAAAATTTGGTGTAAAACAATCCCATGTTTCTTGAAGCTTTTGTCTCACTTCGGTGATTGTACGAGCAGGATGTTATCGTAGAACCTTTTTCATCTCGTGCCACAAAGTTTCAATAGGACTGGACTGCTAGAAACCCATTTCAAAAGTGGTACATTATTTTCTTCCATCTATTTATAGCCTTTTTTGAGCTATGGCACGCAGCACCATCTTGCTGAAACACAAAATCTTGGCCGGATGTCAAACATTCTTCCATCACTGGTAAAAGCGATTCTTCTAAAATTGCCAAATATTTGTTTGTATCCACATTTCCATCAATAAAATGAAGTTTTCCTACTCCTTTTGACGACATACTGCCCCAGACCATAATGGATACTGGAAATTTCACTTTCCTCTTCAGACAGTCAACATGGAATACTTCATTTTTTTTGCGAATAACTCTACTGCGACTGTCACCAATACAAACTTCGAATCGGGCCTCATCACTCCATTGTATTGCACACCATTGTTGAGGTATCCATTGTCTATGTTCTTTAACCCATCTAAGCCGATTTTGCTTTTCCAGTGGAGTTAATAGTGGCTTTTCTTTGGCCTATAAACAAGTTGTGCAACTTTAGGGTTTTTACTTCACTTTTTTTATAAGAAAACCTACCTTGCAAGTGCTAAATCCCAGTTTGTGGGCCTCTCTATGTGTGGCGAACCTCGAAGTTCTCCTTCCAACAGCGTCACTCCACAGAGCATTTAATTGTAAATAATTGGTATGCCTGTTTTCACGATTATTCTTCTTAATGCTCTTCGGTCGGCATTTGTGATATTACTTTTTTTCACATATCGTGGCTTAATATTAACTGAATCAGTTACTTTATATCTTCTAACAATATTTCACACACTGTACCGCGATAAGTCTAACAAAGTTGCAATTTCTGAGTTTGATTTCCCAGAATTAAAAAATTTTATTGTCAGTAACCGAATTTTCTCACTAATAACCTTTCCTCTACCCATTTTGAAAACCTTAACTACCCAAAACTATTTTAAACGTATTCTGACAGCTGTGATTAATAAAAACAATTGTCATGGCTTTTATTTTTCACAGCCACCTATGCGTTATAGACTTATTTTGCTTTGAAATGAAAATAGGTTGATATGCTGTAATTGCAACATGTGTTATTCTTAGGCTTCACATTTGATTAGGGAGTGATAAAGTTGGTGTTTTCCACTATATATTATCAAAATATTCATTGTTAATATTTTAAACCTATAACACCCTGCTACATTTTTATTTGTGTTTGATAAGAAAAAAACTAAGATTTCAATAGTTAGGCCAACGGGGCTCGTACGTACGATAGAACCTATTTGAGCGCATTCAAAGCTGTTTAATTTTCAGTGTCCATGTTGCAAAAATGGCAAAAAATGGAACGTGAGCCCAACCATCATTATAATACGTTTTCTGGGCTACTGATACCAGTGACACCAAATCCGGCAATGTGACATAACGTAATTTCTTCTACAAGATGATAACTTAGCGCAAGCTGTTGTACACTTGTTGTGAACTCGTTTTGAAGCTGTACGTGTTGCTTAAACGTCGGCGAACAACGATCATAGGAAGCAAACTTGGAATGGACTATTTACACACTAAAAACTACCTAATGACATTTTGTTGTTTCTTACATAATACCCCCGCGGGGCCAATTCAGTCCGCAAATGGTCCGTTCTAGAGATACTGGCAAGAATTCTAGAAAAGCATATTAGCATCATCAAAACAAGAAATGCATGGTCTGCGATAAAGATATTAATATCAAAAGTGGAAGAGAGGCACTTATAAAACACGCAAATGGGCAATTTCATAAAAAAGTGCAAACCATAGCAAAATAGCTAAAACTGTTGTCATTTGCCGTTGCAGGTTATTACAGTGGACCCCCGATAATCCGGCCTCTGTCTAATCCGGTGCCCCCTGTAATCTGACATGTCTTTGAATATGTATTACATACATACGTATTTGACAATCTTCGCTAATGTAGACCGCGCAGGTTTGAACAGGTTACAACTTGTACGCGCCACCGCTATCGTGCTCGACGCGTAAGCATTGTTTTACTTAGTTTGAATTTGACTACTTGTGATAACGGTACGAAGTAGCGTGCGTTCATTGTTTACTATTTATTCATTGTGTATTAAGTATAGTACCTAGTAATGTCATCACAAACTCAGAAGCGAAAGCACAAAACATTGACAATTAAAGAAAAATGTGATATTTTAGACCGCTTAAATCGCAATGAAACTTTCAGTAGTTTAGCAAGTGAATACGGTGTAGGCCGATCTACAATTTATGACATTAAAAGAAACCCCGAGAAGATCAAGAAGTTCGTGTCAACTACTGACTGCGGGCCAGGCAAGAGACAGATACTCAAGAAAGCTGAACATCCAGGAGTGGAAGAAGCTTTGTACATGTGGTTTCTTCAGGACAGAAATAGGCATGCACCAATTTCAGGACCCATGTTGGCCATGAAAGCTAAGTTTTTTTATAAGGAAATAACAAAAAAGGAAGATTTTGTAGCCAGCAAATGATAGCTAGAACATTTTAAAAGCCGTCATGGCATACGTTTAATGACTATTAGAGGAGAGAAACTTTCTAACGATGTCACCTGCATAGAGCCCTTTAAATTAAGATTTTTGCAAAAGGTCAACGGTTTAAATCTTGGCGCGTCACAGGTGTACAATGCAGACGAATCAGGGCTTTTTTGGCGTGTGATGCCTAACAAAATTTTCGTTTCTTGTAATGAAAATTCCGTACCTGGACGAAAAGTAAGTAAAGAGCGTGTAACCATACTACCATGTGCTAACGCTGCGGGCACACACGCGCTGAAGATGATGGTCATTGGGAAATCTAATAAACCACGGGCATTCATAAACATTGATTTACCTGTACACTATTACGGACAAAAAAGTGCATGGATGACAAAAGACCTTTTCAAAAAGTGGTTTGATGAATGCTTCGTACATGAAGTTAGAAAATGGTTAAAATATCATAATTTTCCTCAAAATGCGTTGTTGCTTCTTGATAACGCTCCCGGTCATTCGTCTGAAAAAGAACTAACAACTGAGGATAAATGCATCACTGCGATGTTTCTTCCGCCAAATTGCACTGCACTGATTCAACCAATGGACCAGAATATCATTCAGTTTGAAAAGCAAGACTATAAGAAAAACCTACTTCTGAGAGCCGTATCAAAAGACCGACTAGTAGAAAAAGCTTTAAAAGAATTTAATATGAAAGACTTGGTTTTTGGTCTTTGTCAGTCGTGGAATGCGTTACCGTCATCAACTATTAAATCGTTTTGGAAAAAGTTATGGCCAGATATGGTCACCACTCCTAGCAACGTTCCACAAATATGTGTAACAGTGTTACTTCGGAAGTTATAGAAGTCGCTACTGAAACACAGATAAGTCCGGAAGATTTGGAAATCTGGTGCCGTGGAATGGATAAAGAGGAAAATGTTTTTCATGAAATGTCTAACGAAGAGATAATAAAAGAGGTTTCTAATTATACAACAAACAATCAGGAAAATAACGACGACGTGATTGCAACTGCTCCACAAGTCACAGCACAAGACGCAATTAACGCCTTTGAGCTAGGTTTACAATGGGCTGAAGAGAATGCTACATCCTACAACGAACTTTTACTTTTGAGAAGACTGAGGGACAAAGCTCTGATCTCGCGTTATAACAACCTTAAACAAAAAAAAATTGATATATATATTTCCAAGCTTCATAATTTGATAAATTCATTAATGATTTTGATTAATAATTCTTGATTATTTCGGTACATATGTATGTGCATTTATGCTTAATTTTATAATAAAACGTAAGCTCTCTATTGTTATTTAATTTACTAAATTCGACATACATAAACTATGTATGATTTGTACTTCAAGATACATACATATACATAACATATATAATCTTACCATTGGATATGTAATTTGTCGGATTACAAGGTACTCTGTAAAAAATTCCGGACTATGGAGGGTCTTATTCAGTGCTCTATAATCCGACAAATTCGATAGTCCGACACTGCCCTGCATAATGTTTGTCGGATTACCGGAGGTCCACTGTAATACGTTTTTTGGGCTACTGATACCAGTGATACCGAATCCGGCAAGTAACATAACGTAGGTTTTTCTACAAGATGTTAACTTAGCACAAGCTGTTGAACACTTGAGAACTCGTTTTGTAGCTGTACGTGTTGCTTAAACTTCGGCGAACAACGATTATAGCAAACGTGGAATGGACTAAAATGGACTAAAAATGGACTAAAAACTACCTAATGACATTCCCCCCTGCGGGGGGCCCATTTAGTCCGCAAATGGTCCGTTCTCGAGATACTGGCAAGAATTCTAGAAAAGCATTCAGCATAATCGAAAGCATGAAAAAACGATTGAGTTATTGAACATTCCGTAATTCATATTTAAATATCGAGAATCGAGCCTTACGGCTTTACGCAGCTTACGCCCAGCGAGACAAACTGTATATGTATATGAGCTCGAAAAAAACTGTAGATAACTGTAGAATATTATTTCACACTTTCTTTTTTTAGCGTCAGAAATGTCTTTAGCTTCGTTTTTCTTCTTCTTCTGTGAGATCTAGAGAAACCCATTGTATGAAGCATTCTAAAATTGTCCGATAGGCTGTGCAGATCTGATCGCATAATAAGTGCAAGTTTGGTTTTTTGTGCCTGCATTTCTTTATTTAAATCTGTGAATATTGGTAACGCAAATCGAAGAAATTCCAAGTAAACTCAGTTGTTTGTTCCAGTCCTATAGCTGAAATTGAAATGCCTTGAGCGGAAAGAAGACGATCTGTGAAAACTGCTGATTGAAAATACAACTTAATAGCTAGAAGTTGCTCTATCAATGTAAACACATCATTCAACGCGAGCAGGGTGTAATCATTTAAGGGGTTTTATATTTGCAAACGCCTTTGTAATTGCCAATGCGTTTAGGTGAATTTTGGATGTGATTGAACACTTCATGGCAAAAATCTTCAAGGCCTCTTGTAAAGACTCCCCCCCCGTAAATAAGAATCATGTCCACAAGTTGACCATTTTCGTAAACATGTGCCATTTTTTATTTCGTTTGAGACACGCAACAAACACCACTATTCACTCTCGCGTTACCGACTGACACATTGACTGAATACAACTAAAAACATCGTGATAAGCGTTTCAAATTCTTTCGCTTTTTTGTTTCCGATGCGGTGAACCGATAAGGCGGATTATATCCGTTGTTGCCAAACACGAGCACATATTATTATTGAGACAGGGTGGTACTCAAACTTCTAAAGGGCTATAACTTTGTTACTTTAATTTTACCAGAAAAATGTTAAGGAAAAAACATACCTTTTGATCAGATCTACTCACTGTTAAAATAAATGACTCAATTTCGAAGTCAAAAATGGTGACTACAACTATAATACAGTTTACGGTATAATCGTAGCATTTTGGTCCTGGTCTACCGAACTACCGATTTAGTATTGCGTCTGGCAGACATTTTGTTTTTCGCGTGGGTGTGCCCAACATTATAAGGAAGACTAGGACGAATTTCCAGATTTCCAAGTCTGGCTTAAAAAAGCGATAAACGGCGCGGCAAAAGTAGTAGCAAATGGGCTATTTCATAAAAAAGTGCAAACCATAGCAAGACAGCCGAAACTGTTGTCATTTGCAGTTGCAGGTTATTATGTCCGTGAGAGATTCGTTTGAGCGCATTTTTTGCCGAGCATAATTTGCCATTCCTGCTGATGGACCATTTGGCAAAGCAAAATTAGTAGATTAGATAATATGACATAAAAACATCAAAAAAGGAATCGAATGAATGATCCAATATAGCTTACACATTTTTTTATTTTATACACTTTTTCTGTTTTTTATTAAGAATATTTTATTTTTCGTTAGCTAAAGTGAGATATAAACTTTACTTTTGTTTTGTCTTTCGGTTTTAGAGTATATTTTGAGTTAAATAAAATTGTTTTAAGTAAATGACTCCATTTAGTCCATTTACTCTTCGGGTCTTCGGTATTCAAACTAAAACTACCGAAAAATTCCATACAAACAATTCTACCGAAATATCGTCGACACGTCGACTCCACCTGACAACACTGACTCGTAGAATCATACATTTAATAATTAACGTACCTCGCTCCAACGCAATGTTGCCAGATTACACGATTAATCGTGTAATTACACGATTTCGGTCCTTTTTACACGATTACACGAATGAAGTGCCAATTCTCACGATTTTTGAGATTTTATAAAAAAATTAATTACTTTTACTTATTTAAAATGCCAACAGCACCCAAATCAATGTATCAACTCCACTTATTCATGTTTATAAAGGAAAGTTTTACGCTTTCACGCGATTTATCAATTGGCGGCAGTGACGATTAATTCGGGGAATCCCGTAGAGCCGGTTCATGTTGATCACGTCGTACGTTGTCAATTTGCATTCACTACTTGTTTTAACTTATGCATTTTGCTTACTGATACTTCCATCTAGTATTTCATTATAAATCGTATTTAAAATGTGTAATACTTCTGATAGTGAGAGTGATGTGCCGATGCAAGAAATAAAAGATGTTAGCTGTGTTAGTACGCCTAAAAAAAAACTAAAAAGTGCGGATTATACGCAGAATTAATACAAAAGAGACTGGGAAAAAGAGTGGAAGTGGCTCCAGTTAAGTAAGAAAGGCCCAACTTACGCGTGGTATGATAGTTTGTTATATGATTATGTAACTTTAAAATAATTTAAGTTTATAATATTTTAGGTGCAAATTCTGCAGTTGCGATATCCTTATTGCGAGGGGCAAAGGAGAAATTAAAAAGCATATCACCACTGCCAAACACATAAAGTCAATATCAACCATCAAATCGCTACCATCTGTGGCGTCAATGTTTGGCAAAAAATCCAAAAATATCGACGAAAAGGCAAAAGAGGGTGTTTTACGCCTTGCTGGTTTTATAGCGGAGCATAACTTGCCAATAAGATTAATGGAACATATTCCGAATTTAGTTAAAAGTATTTGCACAGATTCTGAAAGCTATCAAATGTATTCGTACAAAAATGACTAACGTAATACGAAATGTTACTGGCGATTGATTTACACAATATAACGCCTTAACCCTTTATTTTACGGAGCAAGCTTATGAAGGAGTGTTGCAAGCCGACAATATTTTAGAAAAACTTAAAAAACCAGAGACAAAACTATACCTTGATTTTTTGGCATATATATTACCTTTATTTAACCGGCTAAACCTTTTAATGCAGAGTGAGAAGCCACAGCTACATAAAGTATATGAAGAAGTGACATGTGTGTTAAAAACCGTAATGGACTGTTTTATTAAACGAGATATTTTAGAGAACATCATGGTGTATGAAATTGATTATAAAAATCGGAGAAATTTTTTAACAATTGATGATATATACTTTGTTGCATCAATTAATGTAAGTAAAATTGACAGAAACATTTTATATTTTGTCAAAGTGAAATGCTTGGATTTTTATGTTGAAAGTACAAAGCAAATATTGCTCAGATTTCCCTTAAAGAATTCTGTAATAGAAAAATTTAAGTTTCTGGATCCCATTTGTGTGAAATCGAAAGAGAAGAACACTATTTCTGATGTGGCGTCGTTTTTTCCAAATTTAATTCATCCTGATGAAATTCAGGATCTGGATAATGAATGGAGATTGCTAAAAAATTACCCTCTGGATGACACTGAGAATGATATTTTAAAATTTTGGAGCGAAATTGCCCAAGTAATGATAGGAGATTCTCTAAAATTTCCTATTTTAACTAAGTTTGTTTTTCAAATTATGTGTTTGCCTCATTCGAGCGCGGCTGTAGAGAGAATATTTTCCTAAATTAATCTGATTAAAACCCAGTTTCGCAATAAGTTAAAAACAAAAACAATAGAAGGTCTTTTGCATACAAAAAGTTTTATGGAAAATAAAACATGTTATGATTTTACTTTAAACAAAAATATTAGCAGAAAACTCGGCAATAGCAGCCTATTATATTTATCCGAACATGAAAATAAAGACTAGCGACTCAGAGTCTTCGTAACACGGTAACATAATGTTTTGAGTACGAATTGTGTATTTACTTTATTATTTTAAAAAATATACCTTTATGTTACTTTTTTAAGTTAGTGTCTTGCGTTTTAATATTGTTTTCGTTTCTGATATTTATAATAAAGTTTATTTATTTAATATGGTATTTTTATACTCGTGTCTATATACATATTATTTGAATTAAATTTAGCATTTTTCGGCGTTACACGATTTTACATGATTTTCTTTTAACTCATCTGGCAACACTGCTCCAACGTACAATTCTACAATTACCAATTACAATGTTAATTATGTTTTTATTATCGAATTACCCCCGCAGGGGTGTACAAAAATTGCCGTAGCGCACGGTATTTCACGTGCACATGGCGGGGTATTGGTTAAAGTTTTCAACTAGCAATAATCGCACCTCGGATAAACCTCATTGGTTACGATACTGCCACTGCGCAAAGCTACCTACTACTGGCCTCCCAAACAACCACATTAAATAAACTGGCGTCTACAGTTTCAGTAACTCCCTGGCTGCCATCTAGTAGGCAGTATCTTAAATTGATAAGCATGTGGCGCCATCACGTAACGCTTGTTATAAGCTCGCTCACTCGTGACGCTATCTAGTAACTGTAAATTTAAGGCCATGAACGAATAGCGCCATCTAGGTGGCATTAATTTAAGCTGAGAATAGCGGCCCCCATCTAGTAGAGGCTCTTGTAAGTAGATATGTGTAACTGAAGAGATTCCTGTGTACATAAATGAGGTTATAGTTCTTTACGGTAAGGGACTAATGGAGGCAGCTTGCCAGTGGCGTAACTAGAAAGAAATCTAAAGCAGAAGACATAGAATATGATAGAATTTTACCCTTTTGTCCTTTGCCTTTTCCTTTCTTATCGATTTTTTTGTCATTCCCAGTTATAGTTCCAACATCTTCTTTAACGGCTTTTTGTTTAGGTCTAGCTTTCTTGTCACCTTTTTTTAATACTTGTGATGCAGGCTTTGCATTAAAACCTGTCATATCAGCATTAATATACCTATAAATATCGTAAAATAAGCATCATTCATGATAGTGAGAATTTATAAAAATACCCCAAAAAAGTCATCACCGGAGTGTAATTAATGAATTGTAAATTTTCTGGCATGATTTCATTCTATTTATAAAATCTATAAAAAGAACACAGCGGCAGGATCTTATTGATGACTCAGAACACTTTTAAAAATTCACAGTATAAGAAAACATGTATCATACACACTTGATAATGTCTCCAAAAAGCTCTATTGACGACTTAGGCGGGATACTATAGTCTCCAATAATCAGTTTTGCCAAATGCTTCACTGTATAGAAATCGAAATTTTCGTAGTACAGAGAATAGTTGCAGCCTTGGTCAGAATAGAACTGCTCTAGTTTCGTTTTCCGAGTATCACCGTCCACTGCTGGTAACGAAGCTGAAAATATGCTGAGCTCGCCTGTTTCTTCGCACACTGAAAATAGCATTTAGGAAATCCGCATGCGATTAGAGTTCAAGATTGAGAAACTTCCCAAGCACTGGAAATCAGTTTTGAAAATTCATTTTGAGGTCATTAATTATGATTGATTGTTCGACCATGTACTACTGTAATATACTAAGTGACATATAAATCCGAGCACCCAGTTTAAATGGTTTTATTTTAATAAAAGTTGGTGAATGTATTTATCTTACTGTAAATAACCAGTGAAAAAATTTTCAGCCTTATCAGTTTCGCATAAAAATAACATTTATCTTTCGGAATGGTTTGTGATTCATATCAGCAAGGCAAACATGTGCATTTTGCTATTAAATGCTCTTTGAACTATACTAAGTGACATATAAATCCGAACACCCAGTTTAAATGGTTTTATTTTAATAAAATTTTGTATAAGTACTTAATGAAGCATAATAAGTAAATGATAAAAATTTCAAAATGATTGCACTGCTTTAAAGCCCTTTGACCTTTAATAATGTGTGGATGCACCCTGATGTGCTACGCATTCTCCAACGCGCCTAGGCATGCTTCTGATCAGGTGGTCAATGTCCTCCTGTGGTATCTCATTCCAGGGAACCACCAACTCCTCTCGAAGTGCTTCTAGACTCTGAGGAGGACGTTGCAAATTGAGCAATCTCCTACCCATCATATCCCACACGTGCTCAATTGGGGATAAGTCGGGAGATCTTGGTGGCCATGGTAACAATGTGACATCATTATGTTAAAAGAAGTCTATTGTGACTCTTGCAACATGTGGTCGGGCATTATCTTGTTGGAAAGTTGGATCTGCCAGGGTGAGATACGGTAAAAGATGGGGTTCTAGAACTTCGTGGATATAACGCTGCGCGTTCATGTTACCTCTGATGAAGATTAAAGGTGACCTGGAACCATAAGCTATAGCACCCCAAACCATAACTCCAACAGTGTGATGAACATATCTTTCAACAAAAAACTGTGGATTCCTCCTTTCGCCACGTCGCCTTCTAACCCTGGCACGACCATCGTGCATGCCTAAACAAAATCGAGACTCGTCACTAAAGACAATACTGTTCCATTCCTGATCCCAGAGTGACCGTTGTCTGCACCACTCAAGGCGATTACGTCGGTGTTCTCGAGTTAAAGGGAGGACCCAGTGTGGCCGGTATGAAAACAAGCCAAAACTTCTCATTCGTCGGTAGACACTTCGCATGCCAATAGGCCTTCCGTGTTCTGCAAACCATTCATTTGCAATGGACCTGGTAGTGGAGAAACGGTCCCTTAAGGCCAATAATCTTAGGCGGCGATCTTCACGGTCTGTTGTTCTACGGCGGCGTCCAGTGCCCCTTGCTCTTTGCGTACGGCCTTCTCGAAGCCATGCCTGACAACACCTAACCACTTCTTTGCACTCTAACTGCAATTGCCCGAAAAGAAAGTCCAGCTTCCCGAAGTCCCACTATACGGCCCCTATCAAACTCACTAAGTTGACGAAATCGTACAGGTCTCCGTACTCTAGGCATCGTACCCGATCGTAAAGCATGTCAAGAACCAAAATCCGCCAACGTTGATTCTTTACTGCGGCTGAAATATTCATTTTTAGAGCGTTAGTGAATTAAAAAAAAGCAGTATAAAAACCGGAATGTCCAACTGATAAGGCTGAAAATTTTTTCACTTGTTATTTACAGTAAGATAAATACATTCACCAACTTTTATTAAAATAAAACCATTTAAACTGGGTGTTCGGACTTATATGTCACTTAGTATATACCTATCAACCTGATACAATTTCGTTAATAAGATGTTGTGATCAAGTTTGTCAAAGGCTTTACTGAAAGCGGTGTGAACGACATTTACTTATCCGTTGGTATCTAGTACTCCAGAGACAAATTAAGTGAAGCAGACTAAATTGTTGTAGTAGATCTGCCTTTCATGGAGCCATGTTGGGATGTACGTATGACTGAAGGTAATGAACATATAAGAAATGAGGTCGCAGTCAAGATCGATCCCTGCTGAAGAATTTTAATGTTATACGTACATACGAGGTCGGTCCGATAAGTACTTAGCCGCACCGCCCGATGGCGCCACTATCGCGAGAGAAATTTACTACCGTACGAGGTTTGTTCGAAAAGTATCGCAAATTTCATGTTTTTTCAAGAATTATTTATTTATTCATGAATATCTAGTTTGTCCCCTTCAAAGTAATCCCCATCAGAAATTATACACTTGTGATAACGTTTTTTGCAATCCTCGAAGCATTTTGAAAAAGCGTAGTCCTTTCATGGGCCTCTTCAGTTCCGGAAACAAGAAAATGTCACAGCGTGTCAGGTCTGGCGAATACGGTGGGTGAGGCATTATTGGAGTATTGTTTTTGGCCAAAAATCGCGCACAAGTAACGATGTATGAGCAGGGACGTTATCATGGCGCAAAAGCCAATTTTTGTTCTTCCACAAATCCGGGCGTTTCTGGCGGATTGCTTCTCGCAAATTGCGCATTTCTTGAAGGTAATATTCCTTATTGACCGTTCTACCCTGCGGCAAGAACTCATCAATGTTTTCGTCTATTGTTGACGTGCTCGGCCCTCTCAGAACATTTTGTACCACCGATAAACGTTGCTTTTGTCCAAAGTAGCTTCGCCGTATGCAACAGTCAACATTTGGAATATGTCCGCCCACTTCAAGTTGTTTTTTACACAAAATTTAATACAAATTCTTTGATCCATTTTTTGGAATAGACAAACATAGGAGACAAGCTAAAACACGTCCTCGCACAATAGCTGACAACATTAAAAATGGCCGATATTGTCAACATTAGTGAGGGTAATGAGTACCAACATAACGCCACAAAAAGATCGAAAATCGAACATATGTACGTAACCCGCGAAAATTCAAAATGTGCGATACTTTTTGAGCAAACCTCGTACGTTCTCGTAGACGGCTACAGTAAAAATTTCAGCCAAATTGGACTCGTAGTTCGTAGTCTTATTTTGACCAAGTGTGGAAGCGGGCGTGTACGCAGATTTTTAGAAAAAGGGAAAAAGAGCAATATCGCTCGATGACTCGATTCCTGTTTCTGGAATACGAGGGATGTGTCTTTCAAATGTTGCATATAGAAACATAGTAGGCCGCGCGGATGGAACCTCAGTACTGAATCTTAACCTCACTCTTTACTAAACCTAAATTCAAAGTTTCACAACAATACGTGCAGTGTTCTCACTACAGTGAATTTTTAAGTGTCACCAAGTCATTAGAAAAATGGAACTCAACCGAGAACATTTTCGCGCCATAATTTATTACAACATTCAAACATGGACGGGTGAGACTTAGCGACGATCCCAGGGTGGGTGCACCAAAAACGGCAATCACTCAGGAAAACGTCGATGCTGTGCGCAAACTCATCATTGAAGATAGACATGTGACATATCGCAAGATTGAGGCGCCCTTGAAGATCTCAAAGGCGTCAATTTGACATGAATAATTAGGAGTAAGAAAATTAGTTTCTCGTTGGATACCCCACCTGTTGACACAAGAGCAGAAAGCAGCCAGGGTTAATTGCTGTCAAAAAACGCTTGATCGTTTCAATTCCGGAAACTCAAAAAATGTGTACAGTATTGTTAGTGGTGATGAATCGTGGATTTACTGTTATGGACAAGAAAATAAACGACAGTCGGCTGTTTGGGTGTTCCAAGGTAAAGAAAAGCCAACAAAAGTCATCCGTTCTCGAAGTGTTTCGAAAAAGATGGTCGCGACATTTGTGTCAAAAGCGGGTCATATTGCAAGAATTGCTCTTAATGAGCAAATAACTGTTACTACGGATTGGTATACTACCATTTGTTTGCCAAAAGTCATCACCGAGCTTCGAAAAATCTACCCCGAAAGAAGAATCATCCTCCACCAAGACAATGCAAGCTCGCACACAGCCCAAAAAACAAGGCAGTATTGTATTAATCTTCGTGGAGAATACTTCGAAAAACAATAAAGTCATTTAAAACTACCTACCGTGTTGTTTTATTTCCATATGCAAAACTTAAAAGACATCCCTCGTAGAAATCGTGCAGCGAAATCAAAGAGCGCTTGAATGCTGTGTACGGTGAATCTTCGATGGCGACCGTCAAAAATTGGTTTAACGAGTTTCAACGTGGTCGCATGTCGGTTTTTGATGAGCCACGGTCCAGGTGCCCCAAAGACGGCTACCACGGAGGATAACGTGACAAAATGCACGATCGCATATTGGCAGACCGCCGTTCAAAGGTGCGCGAGATAGCTGAGACAGTAGGCATCTCAAAAAGCCGCTTGGGTCATATCCTGCATGAAATATTGGGCATGAGATACCTGTCTGCGCGATGGGAGCCGAATTTGCTCACTCACAACAAGCGCAACCGTGATACCACTTCAGAGCAGTGTTTGACGCTGCTTAAACGCAATCCGATTGAGTTTCTGCGTCGACCAAACATGGATCCACTGGTACACATCGGAGACCAAGGAGCAGTCGAAAGTGGACTTCACTCGGCGAAGACCACCGTTTTCAGGGATTGCCAAGCTATTTCTACATCGACTACCTGGAGAAGGGCAAAACGGTCACAGGTCTCTACTATGCCGCATTAATGGGCCTATTCGATGCCGAATTACAGAACAAACAGCCACATTTGACGAAGAAAAAAGTGCTCTTCCTCCATGACAACGCACCGGCTCATATTTCCGCCATCGGCACGGTCAAATTGACCGAATTAGGCTGCGAACTGTTGCCACATTCACCGTATTCTCCAGATTTGGCCCCGTACGACACCTTTTTGTTTCCGCACTTGAAAACAGAAATTTCCGTCGAATGAGGAGGTTATCGCCTATTTTGCAGACCTCCAAAAAACGTATTTTTCAGACGGGTTAAAGAAGTTGGAACATCACTGGGTCAAGTGAATCGAGCTAAAAGGAGACTATGTTGAGAAATAAATCGCCACTTTGCCATTTTATTATTGTAGGCTTAGTACTTATCAGACCACCCTCGTACTTATCTAAATCTACATGACCATTGAAAGAGGAAAATAAATGTTAAATTTCGCATATCCGTATTGTTAAAAATCCTGTATCGGTCGATACCAAATACAGCAGACGCTCGATAATGTAAACTAATTTAATCCAAGTGTGGTTCACATTATCGAAATGTTTACATTAGCGAACGTGATTTATATAATATTTGATTTATTAAAAGAAACGTTTAATACATACTATTTATAACAAAATAAACAAATATTCTAACAGCGATAAGTACTTTTTTAATTAGAAGAACAATAATTAACAATTTTTGTCTGCGTAAATGTGCGCTTAGCATTGTCTTCCAATGCCTGCGCCCGTAATTTACGAAGAACTAAAATATCCGTGTATGAAACTTCTTTTCTTTCAGCCCAATCTAAAGCTTGGTTAAAAACTTGTATAGCTTGCGCGTCAGTCACTACACTTCTGACTTCAATGGGATCGTTCTCATCATCCTCACTGTCCATATCCTCCTCCTTATCAGCATCATTCGTCTCCTTATCTTCGTTCCATAAATTAATATCAGCAGGAGTACAAACAATGTTGGGATTCACTGTTTTCAATAAATCAAAAACATCCAATGACACACTAATAACATTATCATTATTGGATCGCAAACGTTCTCTAATTACGCTAAAGTGGACATCGTCTTCTTCATCATCTTCATTATTGGTACAAAAGAGATTGTTGCAACATTTTTGAATAGTTTGCTGGTTAAGTTCATTCCAGGCCATATGTAAATCTAAAACAGCTTCTCGTAATGTTACTTTTTTTGAACCCTCAGATAAGTTTTCAGGATTCTTTGATAAGACAGACGAAAGTAGAAAATTCCCTTGGTGAGTCTTATTATATTCTGGTCCATCGGTTGAATTAACGGTGTTACGTTGGGCGGCATGTACATGACGAAAATTTACCCATCCCTGCTCCTCAGTTGTTGCTCGGGAGGATGACTTGGTGCATTATCCAATAGTAACAACGCTTTTATTGGAAGCTTCTGTTGTTTTAGGAAACCTTTTACCTACAAATTGAAAACACATCTTCAAATTATGAATAGAGCATTTGTGATAATTGATTGTCATACCTGAGGGACAAAGCACCTGTGGAACCATTTCAGGAATATACTGCTAGTCATCCAAGCGGTTTTTGAACAGTCATAATCAACAGGGATATTAACATTTTTAAATGAGCCCGAATTTTTTGCTTTCCCAATTACCAGTGGCTTTATTTTGTGTGAACCATTAGCATTAGTGCAGGCTAGAAACGTTATTCGTTGTTTCTCCGGCTTTCTTCCCGGGGCAGATTTTTCAAATGATGCAGCATAGGTTTTCTCTGGTAACATTTTCCAATAAAGGCCACTTTCATCTGCGTTGTAAATTTGTTCCATTATTAAATCTAGCTCGGTAATTATTTTCATCAATTTTTCTTTGAATGGTTGCACTAATTGTGGTTGTGCTGATAATTTTTCACCAGATATAGACAGCAGTCGAATTCCATATCTTGTTTTGAATCGTTGTAGCCAGCCATCACTAGCTACGAAATTTTCAGTTTCTTTTAGTTTTTCATTTAAGAGTCTCGCTCTCTGTTTAAGTACTTCGCCACTAACTGGGACATGATTTTCTCGTTGTTTTAAACACCACTTATACAGGGAATTTTCCATTTTAGGTGCCTTCGCATTTTTTTAAGTTTTTCTTTTTCCCGGACCTCCAAATGTACTGCACGTTCTTTGTAAAATTTCAGTTTTCATACGCTTAATTTTACAGATTGTTGCTTTCGATACTCCATATTTTTTTTGCTAAATGTGTCACTCCCGCACCTAGTGCAACTTCGTCTATGATTTTCACTTTCTCACTCAACTTTAAACACTTTCTTTTATAGGATGTGGATGCCATAGGCGTAAAATATATTAACGCGTGCAATGTATTCACTTAAGTTCAAAAATGAAATACATACGTACGTATAAACGTATCCTAAACGATCATACGACTGACCGAGTTTGTCGTATTTTATCGCAGAGGTGAATCCCCTACACTCTACATCATAAATCGGGGACTCCCCGACGCCCGACATAAATCATCGAGGCTTCAGCATTTTACCGTCGCTCTGTTTCCGTGCGCCGAGAGTGGTTTACGTTATCGAGCGTACACATTGTTTACGTTATCGCGCGTTCCGTTTGATCCTATAGAACGAAGTTTGTGTTTACATTAGCGCAAGTTTTCATTATCCCGTGTTTACGTTATCGAGCGTCTGCTGTATTTGATTTTCATATATTAACGTGCCTTCCAGTTTTCTGGACAACATGCTGTGAAACCCTTTTAATAATTATCACTATTATTTCCCTGTAAAACTTTTGTTATTTTACCAGAAATATCCTCTGCATGAGCCACCTGAATGTAAGCCGTAAGCCCGGTATCATAAAACGGAACATCAGGCTTCTTGTACGGATCATTCAGCAACCTGGATGTCCTGAGCGATTCAAACTCATCGTAAGGCTGCTTGCTGAATTCATCCTCCAGCTCCGTCAACTCCTGCAATTCTTCCGCTATGCTCTTACATTCCCTCAATTCGGTCGAAATTACAGCCACAGGAACGCCTGTCAAGGCTTCTTCCAGGAGAGCGGCTTGTTCATACGTTGTGGGGTAGTTGATTAGAGCAAAACCTGGATGATGGTGAACATTTGCCAAAAACGGTTGTTTCATGATTCAAATTCGGCTCTCGCCAACGGAATCTCGGAAACGATAATGGGTATCGAGAGGACAGGAGGTCAGGGAAAAGTAAAATAGGGACAACCTTACAGATTACAAAAAAAGAGGTTTGCTTGATAGCCTTAACGCATCATACAGAGTGCGCCATTAAAATCCTAAAAAAAATTTACAAAGCGAGGATTAGTGAAGACTTCTATACACCTTAGGAAAAACCATTGTTATACATGGGAAATCATTTCTTGGCAACAGCGCAGACCTGTATCACGAATGAGAATAATAGGCTGATACGCTGTGTTGCCAATTTGAGTAGAGCTTCCCGAATTGTGGGGAATTTAGAGTTAAGTGTTGATTCATTCAAGCTTTTAATCAGCATGGCCTAGACGTTAGAACTTCATAAAGATAACATTGAAGCTTAATGCTGCTGGAGTAGAGTGTTTCGAATATTCAAAGCGGAGCGGGACACTATACCTACTCGTTCAATGAGTCATCAAGCCACAGTCTTTTCAACAAAGAAATTATTTTACGAAAATGCGTTATATTTTTACGATTTTGTCGTCACCAAATCTCTGTTTCTCAAAATGTACGTCTATTGTAGAATTTTCAGCAAACTAAGCAAGAAACGTGATCTAGTATTTACTCAACATTACGGATTTCTCGAAATACATTAAAAAATGTGACCTAGATACCTAACTGCCTCAAGCTCTTTAAATATAACACCTTAAACTAGGGTTACCAGGTGCTCAGTCACGTTGATTGTCATGTTGTACTGCGCAAGTCAGCAAACAATCTGGCGTAATAAACGTTAGGAATCATCAGGTATTGCCAGATTCCCGAATACCGGGCACCATAGTAACCGTTATAGTTGTCCTTCAAAGTTGTCAAATCGCCCCTATGGCGCAAATTCGCCACACCAGGCAACTGTGCTATAAACAAACCCTGTTTATCACTACTATTTGATAGTCATATGGTAGTTGTAGCCCTATCTAGCGGTCCATGATTTCTCTCAATACTGTTGTATCTCTACTGGCAACAAGAATAGGGATTACAAAATCATTTATACAACAATATACAAACATGAAAAATATGATTTGAACCATGAAACATTAATACAATTTTAATAGTTTGAACTTTTTTCATTTTTGGAATACTCTTATGTGGAATCCGCAGCTATTTTCCCCTAAATTTGGGTAGACTTAGATTTCTTAGAAATATGACATATTGGTATCGGCAACTCTGCGAATGGGAGAAACAAATCGCATTTGTTGAGCGCATCCGTCTAAGCGGTAGGCGCCAGCGCTCGTTCTGCCATCTCTCTCTTTTATCACTCTTCTACTTTACCCCGTTGTCCGTCACACTCCGATGCTGCCACATAGGATCCTACAATCGAGTGTCTTTCACGCACCTACATACTTTTGTATATTTCCATCTCTCTTCCTCATCATAATGTATAATAATGTTTTTTCCCAAGGTGTATACCATCCTATAGAATTCAAATTATGTGTAAGTGCCCAAATACGAATGGTCTAAAAATGTTTAACCTACTGCCTTTCGAAATAAAGAATTGCCACAATCTAAACACATTCAAGAATCTCTTAAAAGACCATTTGATTGAAAATAGGTTTTATAGTGTGGAAGAATATTGTGATATACGCCGTTAATACTATTTGACTGCTTTTTGTTAAGATATAGGTTTTTTAGATTTGAGTTCACATGTATGACTCTCCCTATACAATGTTTTTTATCGAGAGGAAATGAATAAATGATTAAATGTCACTGCGACCCAAATGGATCTATTCTGACTCCCCATATATACAGGGTGGCCAATATATAACCGACTGATTTAAATTGCGCGCCATTTTTGATACACGCATTTCAGTAGGTGGCGCCACGCCGTAGGAGATTTTTAAAGCACATGTGTCCAATTCACTACACGATCCTACAGCGCGTCTATATTGTTAAAACGTTTTACTTAAATAATGAGTCGATATTGCAACGATTCGGACGCTACGACAAGATTTAGGTAGAAATAATGTGCCCAGTGACAAACCATTTGAACAAAGAGGTGAAGTTAAAGACTTGCTAAGTACGGGCCGTGTTCAAACTGTTCGTACTCCGGAAAATATCGAGAGTTCGTGAAAGTGTAGTGGAGCGCCCTGAGACGTCTACCAAACATCGTTCTCAAGAACTGGGTATTCGCCGCACGTCATTATACACTATTTAAAAAAAAACTTGCATTTGCGGCTATAAAAAATTCACTTAACCCATGAACTTCAGCCTAGTGTCCATGAAAGTCGCCGACAATACAATCATGCAATATTGCAGATTGATACATAAAATAACGATTTTTACCGACAACTGATAATGAGCGATGAAGCCCACTTCGATATGAACGGATTTGTTAATAAGCAGAATTGTCGTATCTGGGCATTGGATAACCCTCGTGTTATCCATCAACGACCACTACATCCTCGTCGAATCACAGTTTGGTGCGCTGTTTGGTATGGAGGTGTCATTTGACCTTAATTCTTTGAAGACGCTGCAGGTAATCGTCTTACTGTCACTGGCGAGTGCTTCCGTGATATGGTCCAAAACCTTCTTTCTCCTCAAATCCTTCAATTTAACCTGCAAAACATGTGGTTCCACCAGGACGGAGCGACCCGAAACCTACCAAAAAGTGGTGGAGACTGTAATCAGGAGAGCTCAGGTTTGCGTGGCTTCTAGAGGCTGACATTTGTCTGATATTATTTTTCATACATAATTTCAATAAAAGATTAAGATGGAAAAAATGGTCGTCGAGGAAAGGAACCAAACTTGAGATACTTTCTTTGTGAAGGCAAAATAAAGTACTTTTTGTTTTAAACCAGCGTATATTTTTACATAAACTTGCGATTTGATGCTCCTAACATACTCTAAAATACAAAAGTATTATTAAAGGTATTTCTTTACAGGCAAAAAGTATTCGGTTGTTCAATAGGGTCGCAGGAAAGTAAACGTCAATTTGACATAGACGCCAACTTTGTTTTCTGTCACCGACATGTCATTTTGTTAGTTGAATGTTTACCATTGATCGCTATGGAGTCGTATTCGATTGAAGACCGCATTAAAGTTATTCAAGACCACTACAAAAAAGGTGCAAAAATAAAAAACATGTTGCGCGCGCTTCGTGAACATTTCGGTCGCAACAACCGCCCAAACGAAACAACCATCGGTCGTCTGGTGCGTAAATTCGAGGCAACAGGTTCTGCGGCAAATCTACCAGGCTCTGGCCGGCCAAGGAGCGTCCGCACACCGGAAAATATTGCTGTTGTGAAGAAGAGTGTGAGAGACGATCCGAAACAATCAACAACGCGTCGATCCCAAGAATTGGGCATTTCGAGAACCAGTTTGCTCCGCATTCTCCACAAGGATTTGAATGTACACGCCTACAAGATCCAATTGACGCAAGAGCTGCGTCGGCCCGACCATTTTTCGCGCCGAACGTTCTCAGATTGGCTCCTTGAACACCGCCAAATTGATGCCAATTTTTCATCAAAAATCATGTTCAGCGACGAAGCGCATTTCACTTTGAATGGGACGGTAAACAAGCAAAACTGCCGCATCTGGGCGAACGAAAATCCCCGTGAGTATCAAGAGCAGCCGATGCATCCTCAAAAAGTGACTGTGTGGTGTGCATTGTGGTCAAAAGGCATCATCGGACCTTACTTTTTCGAAAATGCGGCCGGGGACGCCGTTACCGTCAATTCTGAGCGATATCACGTGATGATAGAGGACTATTTTTTGCCGCAACTTGAAGGAATGGATATGGACGATGATTATTTCCAACAAGACGGTGCAACATGCCACACAACCAACGTCAATATCCATCGATTGCAGTCCTTCTTCGGTGATCGCGTGATTTCGCGCAGAGGAAATGTGCCATGGCCACCAAGATCGTGCGATTTGACTCCCTTGGACTTCTTTTTATGGGGATATTTGAAAAGCAAAGTCTACGTCAACAAACCAGCCACCCTCCAAGAACTCAAAAACAACATTATTGCCGAGATAAATGTCATAGAACCGACCATGTTGCAAAATGTCATTGAAAATTTCGACCATCGCGTGGACGTCTGTAAATCCAGTCGTGGTGAACATTTGAGCGATATTATTTTTCATACATAAATGGTATAAATGAACCTTCAAAATAAAGTACCCAACTTGATTTGAATATCAATCTTTCTTGTTTTAATATGCGTTTACTTTCCTGCGTCCGTTTTGGACAAACCCATATATTTTAAAAAAGGTAAATATTTTTGTGTATTTACAGTTGGTTCCCAAATTTGAGATACTATTCGAAAAATCCCTTTCCTTTGCAGAAAGTGTAAATGAAAATTTTATTTGTAATCTGTCCAAAATCTTTAGGTATGTGCCCATCTCTACTACAATCGCTGCATTTTGCCCATTTTTCACTCTTCCTATCTTCGGAAAATCGACCCGTACAAAATGAACATTCAGCATCGCTTCCACCGCTTTCGTCTGAAGTTGAATAATCCAACTTAAGGCCTCCACTGCATTCTGAACTTGAACTGGAGAGGGAAGGTATCCGAATCCTTTTGAGCCATCTCCTTATTCTTTACAGCTTTGACGGACTTTATCAAGTCATTTGGATTCCACTTTTTGAGATCTCAAATTAGGAAAACTTGGGTATCTCAAATTAGGAATTTTCAATTAAAAAGTTTAAACAAGCATATTTGGCTTAGATACCCAATAAAATCACAATATTGTAAAATAACAAGTTGTGATATCTCAGCAAACCATGTGCAAAACTAAACTGTAAACACTTCTAGAATACTACTGCGTCTTAGTTCACAACTTAGTGGAGGCGCAAGCAGGCTTTCGAAAAAAATATTCCACAGAAACAGCTTTCCAGATGGTAACTGAAAATTGGAGAAGAGCCATAGACTCAGAAGAAGTTGTC